GTTCAAAGAACCGGTATGAATAATCATCAATATGATCAGTTTTTAAGAGATAAACATCTTTTTGGACATTTTGGATTTTTGGATTTTCCTTTTAGGCTCCCTGATAAAAAAAATTGTTAAACTCAGTGGCATTTTGGGGCAAATCATCTGATTTGTCCCACTACAAATGTATACGCATATTGTCACACCTGTGACCAGTGCTCGGTCTAGGGCGTAGCTTCAGGGGTAGTTTTATGCATTCATGACTTGGAAATAACGAGGCAATTACGTAAAATGTAAATCAGTTTATTTAAATCAAATGAACCAAAGGGAAGATACTAAAATGATCACAAAGTATGAACAAAATATGAAAGAAAATACCACATGACACAAGGGTTACTCACCAGGGTAGAAATGTGTCAAACCACGACCTCATCGTTGGGCTCGGCAAGTACGACTGACCCTCTGATTGATTTCCCTACCCCTCAGGTTGAATATAATTATTGATGATCAATGCAGTATCAGCATGCAAGTACAATGCCCGCAGGGAATGAACTCGCCTAGCTGAGACTGCATATCGGAAATGGAAGCGAAATATGAATTCAACAAATATCTATCGTGTTGAATAAAATGATTTTAGGAATTGATTTAATATTTGGTTCGTGAAAACAATCAGATTATGGGATTTTTCCTCAAGCTTGACACTTTTCCCACCCTGGGAAAACTGGCCCTCCAGTTTATGAAACACAATAAAATAATCTGAAAGGACATGTTGACTATTTACAAAAAATTACTATCGAAAAAATAATACATAAATGAAACATATGAAAAAACGTAATACCTATGAGAAAGTCGGAAAAAAAACGGACAGAATTTATTCAATATAAAATAACATTGTTTCTGGAGAGACCATATCCTCTGTTCATTACTCCGAGGGCGGATCCGGACCTGTGGCTATGCTGCGTCTGGTCGAATTCTGACTTGGTTCTGGATGGTTATGGTTGGTAGTGTAGGCACGTCAGTCGGGATTGGCGTGGTTCATCGTTTGATTCACTCCACATCTCTGGTAGGTAGTGTTATTGGTTGGGACGAAATATATCACATCTCATTCTTGTGCTCCGCGATCAACCTCTGACTTGGACAACTCGTTGCATTTTTTCTCAGCACTGAGGGTATCATCTGGTCTCTTCGGGTTTTCCTCAATTCACGCCGTTAAGTAGGTACTCAATTCCCCACAGGCGAACCGTGAATTCCTGTCACCCAGAATCCTTGCACAAGTGTTGACTGCATTATGGTTTGAATCCCAGTCACCGTCATCGGGAGGCCTTTCAATTCACGCTTTTCAGGTACTCAGTTCCCCAAATATAGCTCGTGAACTATTCGCCTGTCCCGGATAACTTTGATTGTGCGATTTTACTTTTCACCTCCACGTTAGGTCAGAAATCTCGATGATCTCAATCGAATCCAGCCAACCCCGCATGCTTTCTGACTGCATCCCAGACGGCCATCACTCTTTTGTAAAATTCGTTGACCTCCTAGTATCTGACGCCTCGAACTCGTTGTGATTGGTCTGGTCCTCCGTTACTCATGAAAAAAAATTGTGCAAGTAAGTCCTAATCGTATATTACAGTTGTTGCTTATTTATTTATTTTCAATTTATTTATCAATCCATTTGTACATAATACTATGTATTAATTCATTAATTACGAAAAAAATCATATTTGACGTTACTTCCTAATCCAATATGAAGTCAGTTCAAAACAAAAATATACTTTTAATATGGGTCGGCCAGCTCAGTTACCCTTAACATTATTAATCTAATCAAATAATAATCACAAGTTTGTCATCCCTCTCGTTATTATTGAATAGAGCTTATAGACTGTTGGCCCGCGACACAGGGTTTATCGATGTTCTAAGTCGGTATGCCATTTAAGGGACCCACTCACTCAGTCCGAGTTAACAATAAGAAGTGCCTCGGAGAGTCGCAACCCAGTCCTTGCCCCGGCCCTGACCTCACCTTTCGGTTGGAAAAAAGTTCAAAATTTTGTTTAAGAAGAAACTCGGCAATGAAGTGCAATGATCTTATCTCACGAAAATTGGGACGCTTGCCGGTTTGCATACGCCTAGGTCACTCCCCAAGGGCGGCATACGAACCGGAAGTGGGAATTTTTCAGTGTTATAGTCGATGATCGAAGAATGTATGCCCTTTGGCGAAACAATGAATTGGGGCCCATTAATCAATTTCCCGACATCTGCATACGATTCCGGAGAGGGGAGCTCGACTTATTCGAACATCATTTGACTGGATATTCTTCAAATTATCGATAATCGAAGAAATGTTCAAATTTTGACCATGGTTAGTGAACCACACAGTATATATGAGTGTAGCACGTAATGATTTAGTAGGCATTCAATAATGTTTTTTCCTTTTGTAGGAGATCCGATATTTAAATATCTCAAAAACCATTTACTTTTCTATAATGTATATTACAGATTTATTCACTTCTTACTGCCTCCCCTACCAGTGGTATGAATCGGATTACCAGTAACCCTGTATATAAGTGCAGCGTGTGAATCTTATCGCCAAAGGCCAGTCAACTATTCTGGGTTTGATGAAGTTATTTCATTGTCAGTTATATAAAAAATAATGAAGGGGGCTGGGCCCTTGATACTTTTTTTGGGTACGATTTCAACTTTGAAACCAATGAATGGTCCACCTGTACATATTCATTTAAAACCCGAGGCTGTTCCTTTTGCAATCACGTGCTCAATAAAAATTCCATTCGCTTGGAGACAACAAATAAAAGATGAATTGGATGAAATGACCGAAAAAGGAATCATAAAACCTGTTGAAGACGGACCATCCGATTTTTTCAGTCCATTGGTAGTCGTACAGAAATCAAACGGCAAGATTCGAATTTGTATAGATTTTACCAAACTCAATCAATATGTCGCGAGGCCGATTTACCCTTTCAGTTCTCCATGGGAGGCAGTTTCAAACATTAACACGAATTGCAAATATTTTTCGACATTAGATGCGAAATGTGGATGTTGGCAGTTAGAGTTGGACGATGACAGCAAAAAACTCACGACGTTTCTCACACCATGGGGAAGATATACCTTCCTAAGAGCTCCAACGGGGTTGGTGAGTTCTGGAGGTGAATTTTGTAGACGTGGGGATCAAGCGTTACAACAGATAGGCAACCTTGAAAAAGTAGTGGGCGACATCCTCATATTTTTTTTTTATCGCTTGGAGCGCACGAGAGGGAATCCCTATAATGTTCAAATAACATCGTGCGTTCCTAGGGAGGATAGGGATAGGAGGTAGGTATTGGAATTTTTTTTGAACTTCTGGAGATTATATGTTGTTGGGAATACTTCCTCAGGCAATGAATTCCAGAGCCCAGCCGTTCTATGGATGAAGGAGTTTTGATAAAGTGCTGTTCGGCATCTTTCGAGGTTGACAACGAAGGGATGTGCTGACTGGGCTTGTCTAGTTCGTCTGACTGGTATTGCTAGTGAAGGGATGATAGCAGAGATTTCCGAAGAACATTTCCCGTGGAAGTATCGATAGAAAAGTGAAAGGTCGCCGACCTTCCTACGGTGTTCCAATGATGTCAAAGAGCGAGTGAGTGTGGCGTCACCCACCAGGCGGATGGCTCTTCTCTGGATGGAATCTAAGAGCATCAGCGTATGTTTCGGTGCTGAACCCCATATGTGGGAACAGTATTCTAGAACAGGCCGTATCTGCGCTTTGTATACGATGAAACTTTCAAAAACCATTATGAAAGAACCGTCAAGTTACTGGAACGTTGTAGAAATAACTCCATTACTCTCAATCCGGATAAATTCATTTTCGCTAAAAAAGAAATATCCTACGTTGGCTACATTGTTGGAGAGGATGGTATAAGAGCGGATCCAAAGAAAATAGAAGCGATACAGAAATTTCCATCACCAAACACAACAACTGATCTTAGATCATTTTTGGGTTTAGTTAACCAATTGAGTTCCTTTTCTACCGAGATAAGTAAGGAGGCTGGTTCACTGAGGATAGATCGATAGATAGATAGATATATAGATAGATAGATAGACAGATAGATAGATTTATTGGTCCACTTTCAAAGAACTTATACAAGTTATGGGACAAGTCATGAAACAATTCATACAGGAATTGCAGATAAAAATATACATATACATTGGTATTAAACAAAACAAACATAATATACCTACATTTAATTTGAACAAGCATTATCTGAAATAATCAATGAACTCTTCAATACTATATGGGACTATCGTCAATATCACAGATTTAATCTTCATTTTGAATTGTTTCAATTTTCTCAACAATTTGTACTCTTCAGGTATTATATTATATCGCTCATTAAATAAAACGAGGAGAGAAAATCCCAAAAAATTTGTAATAATAAATAAAACAACGTCATAACTCAGAAAACATCATTCTTGAAGAACTGTGAATGAAAGTATGAAATCATTATCACTCAGATCACATATATTCAAGAGAAACTCCAATGGCACATTTTGGTTCAACAATCAATATTAGTACTACCTGAAGTAATATTTTTGTTCACGAACCTGTTTGACAGTATACCAAAGCAATTTTATAGCAACCATTCAGAATTAAGACGATATTGCAACATGAATTGATTTTGTAAAATGTCATAATTTGAGATATGACTCTATTGATACAAATTGAAATCATTTTATGGTAATCATCTTGATCGCCTTATCTCTGAATGATGTGAAATGATTGCCAAATCTATAGATAGGTGTCTAAGGTTTTATAATTAGGTAAATATCGTAAAGACCAACACTAGAAAGAAAACACATTTTTATTCGAATTATTTCTTAATACAACAAAGTTTAGTGCTACAAATTATTATAAAAATTAGAATAGAATTTTGGGATGTGATTTTTATTGATCAAATCCATGAGGTCACTTTTTTTTTCAGCTAGTCCAGGTTTTTTGTTGAATGCAGGCTCCAAATTTATTCTTGTATCATTTATTTTTTTTTAGTTATTATTTTAGCCTCCTGAAACTCATCATTGTATGAGTTCTTGTAATATACCGATACAGGAGATTCTAGCACAACTTTCATCACTTTAACTTCAGTAAGTTTCAAATGTGTCATAGTGAGGGGTCCAATGTCGGAAGCAAGTTGCTTCAGGTCATAAAAATCCTCATAGCACATTTCGTTTACAGTAAAAGGTGTTCCTTTTTTCTTTGCTGTCCGGATAGCAGCAATGAAAGCATCTGGTGTATACATGGGTCCCCCTCTCAATTGTCGTTTTACCTGTCTTTCGATAAGAGAATGAGCGGAGTCGCCCTCGTTTTGCGTATGGCCCTTTATAAGGAATTTGTGAATGATAAACTTATTTTTTTGCTGCCCCAGACAATTATCGGAATAAAAAATAACTTCACAATCAGTGATGGTGGCTTTTTTTTGTAAATATTTCTGCACACAACTACCTAATTCGTTCACTCCTCGATGACCATTAGATTCATCCCATACGTAACATTCACAGTTATTTGTCTGCAAATCATAAATCGTGAAGTTTAAAACGTTGAGCTTCGATTTGCAGAAAAACACAGAAACATCTCCTTTTGGTATTGGCATAACCGCCTGGAGGTCATATACTGCAACAATACCATTGGACTTAATATTTTCTTTATCTAGTTTCTTTTCTTCCCTTGATAATTTTTTTTCAGTCAGATGTAAGTCATACTTATCCTTCAAATGTTGTTTCTCTTCATTTGTAGCGTTTTCGTATGCCACACAGGTTTCACATAGATCTTTCTTTGGCACGAAGAAGGAAATATTGAATTCATTCGTGAATACACGTTGGAATATAGCATAACTTCCATATGGCTCATTTTTTTCTCTGCATTTTGAAACATAATCTCTATGGATGTCGGCCAACGAACGACTGCTATCTATGAATGTTCGTGAAGTATTAGCGCGGGTGTAGTGGCTTTCAATCCTAGGGATTGAATTTATGTGTTGTCGAATTCCTTCACGAATGGTCGGGTCGAGAGTCTTATTTTTCCCATGTTTTCCTCGTCTATCTGGTTCGAGTAGAATATTTGCCACTTCATTTCGTTTTTCTTGTACAGTGCGAATTGTACGATCGTTTATGTCAAGAGTATTTTCAAAAAATAACTTACAAACTCTGACTCTCTGACCTTGCCTAATGAAATAATAAGCATTATTATTTTGTCGTTGGTTTCTTGTACCACCAACACGAATGTATCTGTATTGTGGTACAATAACTGTCATGGAGTTATTGATGAAGTCTCTCTGCTTCTCTATATTACCCAATGACCAGTATGCTGAAAAAAACCTGCTGTCTCTCTTCTTGATTGAACTTTGACGAACACTGCAATTTACATTTCTCACCGCACGGAGCTTTCATTTCCCTTTTCATCCGAAGTTTCTTGGTCCTTGTATTTGTTTAATAGGCCTGTCCACAATTTCTCAATTCCTTCGAAACATTCCTTTTCCATTTTGCTGTATTTCTCTTACGTTTCACTCCTTTATCGGCTGGGCTTGTTAAAATTGGGATATCTTGGTTAGGTGTAGAAGGTTTATTGGTGGTATCTAAATGTAATGTGTCATTGTCTTTTTGATTAACTCCATTGTTTTCTTTACCGCTATCTTCCTCAGAATCATCACTTTCTGGTGTATACAATTTGTCGTTGATTAAATCTTCACAATCCTCAGAGGAAGATGAAGTGTCACTCTCACTAGCAGATGAAGAACTACTTGATGAGTTTGAATGCTTGGAACTGAAACTATTTGAATGATGAGGTTCTTCGATGATAGCCCTATCTTGGTTTCCTTCAAAAAAAAAATAGTGAAAATAGTAGTTAGTATTATTATTATCATTATTAGTAGTATTAGTAGTAGTAGTAGTAGTAGTAGTAGTAATATCAGTAGTGGTAGTAGTAGCCCTGGTGATAGTAGTAGTAGTAGAATAGTATCACAAATACACACCTGATATCATTGTAATATCTTCCAAAAGCTGGGCTGACTGTTCATTATCACGTTCGGATATAGTTACATTGTCTACCAAACATTGTGCAGATCGTTCATTCCTACTGACCAATCCTTTTTCATCACTAGATGATCCCATATTGTCAAAATTTGTCATATTACTTGTCTCTTGTGCTTTCAGCACTAGTTGATATATATGTTTCCCACGAGAACACATTATAGCTGGGAGCTAATAATGAAAGAAAAATGAATAAGAGTGCAAAAATAAAATAATGAGAGAGGAATATTTCAATGACAATAGGGTCATGAGTATAAATATTTATTAGTGATCATCGAACTTGAGACTGATATTAAGAACAAAACCGCCATATTGTCATTTAGTTGAAAGTTACAAATTCAAAATGCAATACTTCTTTTTAGTAATACTGTCATAAAAATAAATAATGCACTTGAATGATCTTTTTCTCACTGCAAGGACGTCATATTTCTAAATAATACAAACGGAAATTGTGTACAAGTATCTCATGTAAAACGACATAAGACCAAATAATACGTTGTTGATGTGATAATTAGCATAAAAAACATCTTACCTTTGAAAAATTATGATCTCAACACGCGATAAGACTATCTTCCATTAACATGTGACACGTTTTCACCATAGGTGCCACCTCACAACTGAGATGATACGGTGTCGCGTTTACTTAAAACTTCATAGCGTCACTGCACTAGAACGACATAAGCACTCTCTGCCGGCAAGTATTTGAGTCACACATATGACGTTATTACAGTTGAAAGTACTCTCAAAGTAGGTTTCAACTGTGTAAATAACTCAAAATTGATGTTTTTTTAGTTATGTCGTTGTTGTATTTAATGAGCGATATAGCTTAAGACCGATGGTTTGGTAAGATTTTTGACAAAATGACAAACGATTTTTGGGCATGTGGAGATGTTTCTTTATCCTAGTGTCGTAATTATGAACGGTTTCATTTTTTGCAAATCGATCAACATTTTTATGTATATACACTAATAATTCCAGAATGTATAAACCATAAATTGACAGAATATTATATTCTCTGAATAAACCTCGACAGGAAGTTTTCATAGAAGCATTGGCAATGCATCTGACTATTCTTTTCTGAGTTATGAAAACATATTTCATAGAAGATGAGCTACCCCAAATCAAAATACCGTATATCAATAGAGACTGAATTTGACCATGGTAAAATAATAATAGTGCCTCTTTGTTCAAAACGGTTCTCAAAACCCTAATCTGGTAGCATTTCGTATTCAAATTTTTCATGAGATTATCACAATGTGTTGTGAACTTCAAGTTACTGTCCAAAGTGAGCCCTAAAAATTTCACACAATTTGATGCTTCTATAACCTTATCATTGACTTGAATATCTATCTTATGTTTACTATCATTTTGACGTATTTGAAATCGCATGCATGAGGTTTTGCATGGATTGAGAAATAGAGAATGATTTGATAACCAGGAGTCTTCTTAAAGTGAAGAATAATTTTTTATGGACTGAATATTATGAAAATATATTTAAAAATGTTGAAAATGCGTTGATCAAACCACCTGTATTAGCCCACTTTGACCCAACTAAATCAACAATTCTTCATACAGATGCTTCTTGACTGAACGGTCTGGGTTATGTGTTGTTACAATAATTTGAGGATGTTTGGAAATTAATACAGTGTGGATCACGTTTTCTGTCAGAAACTGAAACCCGATATGCTACAATTGAACTTGAGCTTCTGGCTATTACCTGGGCTATAATGAAATGGCGTTTATATTTATTAGGTATAGAAAATTTTACATTATGACAGATCATCGCTCACTCATTCCCATTTTGAACGAAAAAACTCTCGACATCATAGAGAATCCTCGATTACAGCGTTTGAAAGAAAAGTTAGCCGGTTACCGTTTCATCGCTGAATGGAGAAAGGTCAAAGAACATTTGATGCCAGATGCATTGTCGCGATCACCCACACAAATACCGACGATAGAGGATTAGTTAGCAGAGGATACAGCACGTCATATGGAAACGTTCATTGTACATCAAATATCTATTGCAGACAACACTGAAGAAGGATCCAGAATAACTCATTTGCCTGATTCACTACTGAATCAAATACAGAATATGGCCAGGCAAGATCTTGAATACCAAGTACTCATCAAACAAATTAAAGAGGGTTTTACAAGTCGGAAACACCTCGATCAAAGGATAGAGTCATATTGGAATGTCAGAGACAATTTGAGTGTTGACAATGGATTAGTGTTGAAAGGATGTCAAATTGTGATTCCAAAAAATGCCAGAAAATCAATTCTACAACGTTTACATGATTCGCATCAAGGGATCGAGAGAACAAAAGCTAGAGCACGACACACTGTTTTATGGCCTGGAATGAATAGTGACATAAAAACATAGTAGAAGCTTGTTCATTATGTCCAAAATCTCGATCTTCACTTCCAAAAGAAACAATAATCAGTGATCCATTATCAGCCGATTTATTTACATGTGGTGGGAAACATTTTGTAATGAACGGGTATCTTAGACAAAATTATGTGGATTTCCGAATTCTTTTGAACTAAGTACAGTGAACAATAATTATTGTGAAAATAACACCCTGTCTCCAGAAGGAATTGATAGTTAGTGAATGCTGTCAGAGTATTTATGTCAGTTCACTCTGAATTTTGTAACACTGTTCAATTTGTTATATTGGATTATAATTATACGCAATATGTCCCATTTTCTCATTATTCGACGACGCAGTCACAACAAGTTGGCGACGAGGATATAAGATTCCGATAATATCAGCCGCATTCAGTGAATTCAACAGCCGCTCTGTACCCCAACGACAGTCTCTTTCAGATCTTACTCTGACCACGTTATCACACCCCTAGGTAAGGTCACACTCTCAGTCGCATACAAGAATAGGAAAATGGACGCTGATCTGTTCATCGTGCCAACTGGCCATGATGCACTACTTGGTCGAGTTTGGATTCGAGGACTTGGGATCGACCTTAAGGAAATCGATATTGACCAATGTTCAACTAACATCCCAGTTACCATCAACGCTGTCACACCTCTTGAAGACATCTTCCAGAAATATTCGTCAATTTTCGAACAACGGATTGGGTGTGTGCCAAAAATTGAAATCAAGTTGCAACTCAGAGAAGGGGTGAAACCAGTTTTCATCCGAGAACGTGATGTTCCGTTCGCTTTGAGAGAACGAGTTGAGAAAGAGCTCGCATCATCAGAAGCAGATGGAATCATTACTCCTGTAGCATTAAGTGATTGGGGATCACCACTAGTCGTGATACCTAAACCAGACGGAGGAGTTAGACTTTGTGTGGATTATAAATGTGGAGTCAATTCCAAACTGGTCTCAGCCAATCATCCGATCCGCCGCATTGATGAAGTTCTCCACAGTCTCAGAAATTCGAAATTTTTCTGCAAGTTAGACCTCTTCAAGGCCTACCTGCATCTCAAAGTCGATGAAGAAGGAAGTAAAATCCAAACGATAGCAACACATAAGGGCACGTTCAGGATGAATCGTCTAAGTTTCGGAATAAAGACGGCGCCATCGGAATTCAACAGAATTTTGTCGCAGATATTGAATGGCCTTCCGAAAGTAGATGCCTACTTCGATGACATCATCTGCCATGGAACCACCATTGGAGAGTGCACCAGGAATCTCATTGCTTGTTTAGAACGTCTCAAGCAGAACGACCTCCACCTGAACAAAGCGAAATGTTTTTTCTTCAAGGAAAGCATCAATTACCTTGGTCATATTGTGTCTTACAACAAGATTCAGAAGTCTCCTGATAAGATACAAGCGGTCTCACAAATGCCACGACCCAGAAACGTTGAAGAAGTGAGACGCTTCCTAGGCATGGTGACGTACTATGCCAAATTTATTCCAAATTTCTCAACGAAATCATATCCACTACGCCGTTTACTTCGAAAAGGTGAGAAATTCTTCTGGTCAGCCACAATTGAAGCCGCATTTTTGAATCGCAAGTCAGAATTGTGTAGCGAACGTGTTTTGACACCTTTCGATCCATCAAAGCCGTTAATTCTCACAACGGATGCCAGCCCCAAAGGCATTGCCGCAGTTCTCAGTCACGAAATAAATGGACATGAAAGACCAATAGCCTATGCCTCTCGAGCTCTGACACAAGCTGAATGTAATTATAGTCAATTAGATAGAGAAGCTTTAGCCATAATCTATGCCGCAATTCATTTTTACAATTATATTTTTGCCAGAAACTTCACACTTGTCACCGATAATGAGCCTTTGTCACGAATTTTTCATCTGAATCGTGCTCTGCCACAGATGACATCTGCCCGACTTTTGCGATACGCATCTTTTCTCAGTGGGTTGGATTATACCGTTCGTTGTAAGAAAGGAAAAGACAACGAGAATGTCGATTGTCTATCTCGTGCTTCAGTCACTCAAATAACCAAGTCTGCAGAGATAGCAATGAATGAAGAAGTCAACGCGTTGTATGCTGAAACTGTGCTCCAAATCTCTAGTTCAGCAATCACAGCTGAAATCATCGCTGAGGAAACAGCGAAAGACCCTGGACTTCAAACCTTGATGACTGATCTCAGAAGTAACCCAAGAGACGGACCTTTCACGATTTCAAATGGCATTCTCTTCAGGTTGGATCGTGTTGTCATTCCAAAGTCTCTTCAAGTATCAATCCTGGAAGAACTTCATGCGACACACTTGGGAATAACCAAGATGAAGCAGTTAGCTAGGAAATACGTTTATTGGGAACGATTAGATAAGGACATTGAACGGCTTGTCAAAAGCTGTGAGGCCTGTGCTAAAGTCCGTCACAATCCTCAGAAAGCAGCAGTTCATCCTTGGGATGAGCCTGAAGAAAACTGGGAGAGATTGCATATTGACTATATGGGTCCTTTCGACAATCACTATTTCCTAATGTGTATCGATGCAAAGTCTAAGTGGGCCGAAGTTCGAATAATAAGAATGGCTCCGTCCTCGGCAACAACGATCACACTCTTGGAAAACATCTTCTCAGTGCATGGTTATCCCTCAGTCCTGGTATCAGATAACGCTGCAATCTTCAAAAGTTATGAATTTCTACTATATTGCAAG